GGTTCATCCCTTGATGGATAGAGGCTGCAAATTATTTTTGGGAAAAGCAGCCCGAGGAGAACTTCATTATCAAGAAAAAGCAGTTGTCACTTTTCCTGCAGTATCAAACAATGCTGTGTCCATATAGTTTGCTTACTATAGTGGCCCCTCTGAAAGTATATCTAATACCCAACCAACAGCAGACTTCTGACTGCGAAACTTGAACCATTGACTTACCATTTGAATAGAAATCAAAACCTTTTTTATGTCTAATTCGTTTGCCTTCGGACTATTTTGCTTACCATGAAAGTTTTGAAGGAGGCTAAGAAAATCAAGCTTTGGATTACTGCTACGCTTCTTAGTAGCTCCTAACACTAGGTTGAAGCCAGACAATGATTAAATGTTTGGCTGCTCAAGAGTTGTACGACAAGTATCAAAGTATTTCAGGGAATTATTTGAATCCTGGAATAAAATTCCACCATTGCTGCTTGCATTGAATTTCATCCTACCTTCTTCCTCTGTAATAAGGATTGGTGGTGGGTTGTTTTATATTAGAAGAAAAATAGAGTAGATTTTGGAAACCTCAGTTTGTCAACTATGTATATAATTTATCATGGTTCAAGCCTTTGATCTCTTGTATTTTTTTTTTCATTTTCAACTGTTGTAACTATCTTTTATTATCACATAGTAAGTCATTGATTCAAACAAAATCTAATTGGTGGATAAAAAGTCTAGCTAAACACTAATCAACAATTGGTAGATCCGGTGAGAACGTGTCAATTTTATGTAATAGTACAAACTCTATAATTGTACCATTAGATGATGAGCTTGCCTTTGAGAATTTTCTAGCATTGGCGTCTTTAGTTGTGACTTTTGTTTTCTTTGTAAATTCTTCCAGTTTTATATTAGCATAATAGCATCTTATTCAGTTGAGAAATTGATACTTAACTGATTCTCTAAGTAAACTAATACCCATTTTATACAATATAGGAGATAGGGTAGAACATATTAAAATCAACTCTGGTTTGATTAGAGTAAAACACAACTTGGGTTTAAACGTGAAATCAATAAATAATGTGAAATTTTTAATTAAAATTTTAAATAAAATTCAGGTTTTTGTGTATTAATGTTTTTCTAGACTAAGTAAATTTTTCTCTTTTATCTTGAATATTCAATAAATTAAATGTTTTATTTAAGTCTTTGTTGATATTTCCTTGTAATAAAGTTGTGTGATATATATTAACTTATAGTGTGTATGTATAATATGAATTCATAATATTTTGTATTGGGATTTTTAAATGTTAACTTAAATTTGCACAAATATCATTTGGAAGGAAATTAGAATAGGTGTCTCTTGAAAGAAGTATAGAACATATGCAAAGAAATAATAGAAAGTAGTAGAATAGGAGAGAAATTTCTTTTGATGGTATTATTTGGCATGGAGAACTGTGAAATTCAATCCTAGAAGACTAAAGTACAAATGAAGCAAAGAAATGACAAAGAAGAAACCATAAGAGAAAGAGAAAGAGAAAGGAAACACTTCTAGCAAATACTCTTCTCGATCTAGCAAACTTTCAGGGAATTGTTATTATTTATTGATGTGCCTAACCAAATGATAATCCCCATTTGTTTTACGTTGAACGACACTATTATTCATGAAGAACACTTGTTAGAACAAATTAAGTTGTATAATTAAGTTTAGAAGTATTTGATAAAAGGATTTTTAGAGTGTAATATAAATTAAAAGATAAGCGTCACCTCGTATTGTAACAAACCATGAAAGAAACTAACCCAGTTTATGAGAAACTAAGCTAAGAAGAAGTCACCTCATAATGAAAATATTAATTTCTTTATTTCTTGTAAGTAATAAAGAGAAACTGAAAAATGAGATTTGGTTATCAATTTTTTAAGGAAGAATTAAAAGCTTGAACCATCAACAAATACATTTTAATTACAAATTTATCCAAAATTTTTAATGGTTACATAATCTAATTAAATATTTTTGTTGATTGATATGGGGATGCAAAGAGGGTTGTTGGGTCTGCTTGGTATCAGGGGAGTGATCAGTCTGATACTACATTATATTATTTATATAACAAAATTCTACCATCTTTATAAAAAATATTTTTAATTAATGATATATATATATATATATATATATATATATATATATATATATATTACAATAATATAAAATTTTATTTTTTTAAGATATAAACCAAAAAAAAAAACTTTCCATGATCTGAGTCATTAATAATATTACATTCCATTTACTCATACATATATTGAGAAAAAATACAGTAGGTATTTTTAAAAATGATAAAAGATTGTTTATTATATTTTGGATTTAATTTTTTATCTAAACCATTTTTTATTACATCATAAGCTTTTCTCCATTATTTGTGTCATAGTAGTTACCTCACATGCTAATTCTTTAAATAGTGTGTTTGTATAAAATCATGTGCACCAATGTGCAAGGACTTGCAATGTTATCACTCTAAATTATATTAAAATATTAATTTTTGAAAAATAATATTTATTTTTATAGACTAAATATAATAAAATTAAAATGTATTATATATATATATATATATATATTTCCTTTTCTTTTTCTTTTTAATTATAGTATTGGAGGTGAAAAAATTGATTGACCCACTAAATTGTATCAATGGAGTAAAATGTATTAAAGTGGATATGTAGAAATAAATGTGAATAATGGTTGGTAAAATATATGAAATAGTATGAGCAATAGATAAAATAATTAAGGAAGAAATGAGATATTGTAAAGGAGAAAAAAAATTGAGAAACCTAAACAAGCAAAGTTGTGTATATAATATAGAAAAAGACAAGTAAATATAATATTATTAATAAGATAAACCACAATATCTGTCAGATAAGGGAAACTAATCTTATTTAAGGTTTTTAATTAGATAATAGTTGATGACGTGTCATAGATGGTTGGTTTATATTTTTTTCATACAACAAATTATAATGAATTCTTGATTTTTGGATATTTTTGGAGAAGTTATGAATTTAAAAATAAGTTGATAGATATTACAAATTATGTATAAAGATTACGTATTGGAACTTAATTTTTAAAAGTTGTTTATTATATCATTTATGTTGTTTGATATCTTTGATACATATTGAGTATGATAAATGGAATGATTAAATATTTTATGTATTATATTATAGAGATTTTATTATTACATGTTTAAATTAAGTTAACTTATTATTTTTATTATTTTGAATTATGATAATCATATATTTATACAAAAGTCGATGATAATGTAAATTTTTATCAACAGTTGTTTTTTAACCATATCTACCTATAAATATATTTTTTTTAAATTATTAAGATATAAATATTGTAAATACTTTTGTTTGAATTATACGTAAAATATTATATATATATATATATATATATATATATATATTTGATTTTCATAATATAACTATTTTTACTTTATATATACGATCTATTTTCAAAATAAATTGATTAATATATTATATATAAAAAGTTATTAGTGAAATAATATTAAAAAAATATATATTTATTTGTTATTCATGAATCATGATTGCATATAATTACGAGTCATCCAAAACAAATGATTCATACTATCTTCCCTTATAAGTCCAAGAATTTTATTTTTATTATAACAAGTCAATGATTGTTTGAATAATATTTTTTATTTTATTTTTAGTATTGAAACTTATTTTAATCATGATAATTTTTATAATCTTTCGTGACAAAATTTTGTTTAAAGAATTATAATTCATGATAAGATAGATTTTAATAATTGAATTCAAACCAAATGAAATATGTTGTTAACAAAAAATAGTTTTTTTTTCCTACTACAAGTATAATATCTAGGATAATATTATTATTTCTATTATTGTTGTATCAAAAAATAAGTTTTTCAAAATTAAAATCCTATATTTATTGTATTACGTCATTGGATTAACTAATTCTGTTTTAATTTCTATTGAAAATAATTTTTTTAAAGAATATTGAATTAATGATTTTGCAGTAAAAAAAAGACAGAAAAAACTATATTCAAATTATCAGAAGGGCATTATTTGTTTAATTGGTCACGGAGAAAAACCTAGTCCCGAGTGTATCTTATTATTATAATTTTATAATATATTTATTGTTGTTTTATTGAATTATTTTAACTCAATATTATCTTTAAATATAGCTTATGGTAAATGACAATTTAAACAACATCTAGTGGTCTATATTTATTATTTTCCTTTAACAAACTTGAACATTACTCTTAGAGATTTTTAACAAAAAAAATCTTAAAAGGTTATAAATTAAAAATATATTAAAATCATGTCATAATACATAGTAATATATATATATATATATATATATATATATATATATATATTTAAAATGTGTAAATTATAAACTTACACAGGAATTATTATATTAATTACGTCATAAATCAATGTACTTCTTGTATGGAAACATAAAAGAAAGAGTTATCATGTTTTAATTCAATGCACAGAATGACGACACTTTTGAATAAGCAATCATGTCACAGTAACAACACCAACAAGATGTTAATCTTTGGTTAACCTGAGAGAATTTGTGAAGCAGAAAAAAAAATAAAAAATACTTCACTACTTTGATTCTACTTTTCTCAAACCCTTTGAACCTGATTCTTATCTGATCATCACTGTCAAATCTCCACCGTCAGTTTCAACAAAACTTTATTCCAACCGTTGATCGTTTCTCTCTCTCATCCTTCATCATAACAAGATAGATGATGATGATGATGTAAGTAATCTGCAAAGCAATTAGTCTTCCTCTTTCTGTTACGAATTCTCAGAAACCATTTTCCACTCACTCCACCGGACCATAATTGATCTTAAAATAAAAATCAGGTTTTTTATTTTGTTATTACTTTTGTCAGTTTTTTTTTTTTTTTGTCAAATTTGGTTCATTTTGATACATTCTGTGTCTCGTCTTTATGTGAAAAGTTTTTCAGGGACTTTTTTTGATGAACGACCAAATGATGATGCCTCACCTTCGGATCTTTCAGAACAAACAAAATTACGCCGTTTGGCCGCATACCCTGCCACCGTTCCCGTCGGAAAACGCGGCTGTGTTTCCTTGTCCCCCGCTAGTGTTCAAACCCCATCCGGGTCGGGTTATCAGGAATAAAAGAAGAGACTTTCACCGAACCGGGTCGGGACCCGGTCATACATTCAAACTGGGTAATCCTAATGAGTCGAAAACACCGCCGGCAAACCGCTCCGGCGCAAAGGGTCGCCGGATTCACTACCCAAGGCGAACGTTCGGCCGTGGCGGTGGCGGAAACCGACTCACGCCACCTTTAGCGCCGCTCAACACGACGTCGTTCATAATCCGCGCGAAGAATTCCGGCGGCATCGCGCCGCTGGTTTCGCCGTCGGGATCGCTTTCGCCGGCGAAGTTCGACGAGAGGGCGGCGGAGGAGCAGTGGGGCTTCAACGGATACGGCTCCATGAAGGGCCTGATCCGGCTCCGGCCCGGAAATTTTGACTCCGGCGATATCTCCGGCGCCGGCAGGTTCGAGATGGTAAACCCTACTTCCGGCGACGAACAGAACTTGGACAAAAGGGTTGATGAACAGGACTCGCATCTTGCACACCTCGAAGAAGAGAATCTGACGCTGAAAGAGAAACTTTTGTTAATGGAAAAGCAATTGGGTGACTTGAGGAGGAGGGTTCAGTTCTTAGAGACCGACGGAACCACCAGCCACGGCGACCGTGAGGGTGGCGCAGAGAATTTTTTGACCGGAGATGTTTTCTCAGTGAAAAAAGTTGACGGTAAAACCAATGAGAAGGTTTAGTTATTTTGCTTGGATAACAAGTTTTTTGTTTTCTTACTTTTTAGAGTAGATAAATAAAAGCATGTAAAATGTATAATGTAGAAGAAGTTTGATTTGGGTTTAGTTTAGTTTAAGTAGTTATTGTGAATTATGTTAACCTAACTCTTCCATGTACAAGTTTTTTTTATGCCTTGTGAATTTCCTGAGGTTAGTATTCACATGAATAAGAAATGTGGCATTGTCATTTAGAAAATTTGTTAGGGTAGTTTCCATGTTATAATGGACACTAAATTCATTATAAAAATATGCCTAAAGTATATTTAAAATCATCTTTAAAAGAATATTAAAATATGTACATTACCCAATTATCGATCATCTTCAAGTTACAAGTTATTAATTTTATTTTTATCCTGGAGTCCTCTAAAATAAATAATTTTAGAATTAATTACCATAATGAAAGTACTATTTGTATTGAAATTTGATATTTATATTATATAAATTATCATAAGTTTTGATTTATAAAGAAAATATTAAGATAAAAGTTACATTAATTTATATTTTTTTATTTTGATATATGATATTAATATTTTAATCTCATCTTCATTATAATAATCTTCTTGAGATTAATCATCACATCATTTTAAAACTTTAATGTTGTTATCATGATTATTTTTATAACAAATATCTTAATTTATTATGTTATCTTAAATTTGATTCTTAAATAATACAGGACTTTAAATATTTCAGAATAAATTTAATATATTATTAGAATCAATCACAAAATTTAATATATTATTTGCTTTTTAGTTGAAAAATAATTTAAGATATTTTTTATAAAAAGAAAATATTAAAATAAATTTTAGACGCTATATTACTTTTCATTTTTAATAGAAATAAATATAAATGATTTAAAAAAACCGAGCTCAAACCTAATATAACAAGTTAAGTTTAAACTTTTAATTAACTTCAAATAAATAAATAAATCAGACATAGTTTCCCTCTTTTAATTAACTTTTAAATTTTTTTTTTTAAATGAGGACTTAACCTGACATAACAGGAATACATATTATTTCAATGAATAAATGTTACAGGGATTCAATATGTATGTACTTCACGTGTAAGTAGATAAAATAAAAAAGTTAAATTAAATATTTTAATTGATAATATTTGAAATATTTAAGTTGAATAATAAATCGCTAAAATGAAATAAAATATTATTAGCATATTATATAATTTCTACCATGCAGATAATAAAGAAATTTTGTTAATTTTATCAACATCTCTTTTAAAAAAAGAGTTCACACATTTTGGAAAAAAAAAAAATATATATATATATATATATATATATATATATATATATATATATATATATATATACTTCATTCAAGGATTTAATATAATATGCATGTAATTCATGTGTAAGAGATATTAATTCAAGAAAATGAAATAAAAATATAAAATCAGTTTAAAATCAGAAAAACTGAATTTAATTATTTTAATTTAATTTATACAATTTTAGAATAATTAGAAAATTACAAAACTATAATTATTTGTTTGAGACGATAATGATATAAAAAGATAAAACATTTATTAAATAATAATAAACTTTTAAATAAAATACTTTTTTTACTAATTATTTTTTCATTGGACTGAATTAATAAATTTGAAATTAACTAATAAATTATCTGTAAAGATGAAATGTGATTTACAAAACAGATTAGTAGAAGATGTTAAAATACAATTTAATTAGTGTTCCTATATTTTGTTAATAATACTGATAATGAAGTGAAATTGAGTAATAAGATAACCATATTTTTACTAAATATGTAACAAATTATATTATTCATCTTTAATATGAATATATATAACAAAATTATTTTTTTGCCATCAAGATATATTTTTAATTTTATATTTTAATTAATAAATACAATTGGATGGTGTGAATATATTATCTGTTTGGCTGCATTAGATTGCACTTAAACTTAGATAAATATAAAATTTTACTATTAAATATAACATATTTATAGATTTGAAATATATTGAAATATAGATAAATATAAAAATAAAGGTGTCAGACCCGTGTATTAGCATATGAAGATAAGTATAAAAGAGTAGGATGAGTGTGAATCTTGCCGCATCAAATCCCTAGGTTTCATGATTTCCTGAGATATGAGACGATCCGTTTCAATGTCTTTCTTGAAAAAAGAAAAAAATTGTTAATTGATTAGACAAATCCCATGACAAAACTATTTGTTTTGACTTCAAACGCCAATTCATTTTGGATTAACTTGAAAACATTTGCCCTAAATTTTCAACTTTAGAGCAAACATCTAATTCTGGAACTCTTTTCAAATCAATTTTTTCCGTCATCTATTTTTTTTGTGCATATAGGGTTTCAAATTAATTAGGATTTAATTGGGTTTCTTTGCACATTTTTCTTTCTTCTTTGTTTTCTTGAATTCTTGAATTTTGGGACATGGTTCAATAAAAAAAAAAAAAAATGGACACTGATTTTAATTATATGAGTGTAAGAAAAAGTTTACAAGTGAATCACCCATTTTAACCGATTTGGGTGTAACTTTTCGATAGTGCATGAAAAGGTAATTTATGTAAAGATGAACCGTCTTTTACGATAAGATTTGAAAAATATTTAACATATAATTTAATTTTCTTTATATATATATATATATATATATATATATATATATATATATATATATATACCTTTTTATGTTCTACAAATTGAATATTATTATTAACACGAAATTAAATAGTAAGATCACACTTTATAATTATTTTATTCTTATTGAAATAATGTATAATAATTGTTTTGGTATAAATATATAATTTTAATATAAATATAACATTTTTAGAAAATCATTTTTAGTATAAATATACAATTTTAAAATGTTTGCTATAGTTATAAAATTTTATATTTTGATTAACAAATATCCACTCATATTAATATCCGAACAAAATTTTATTGTGTCCATATTTTTTTAAAATATTATTTTATTTTATTTTTTGAATAAATTTCTTTTTTCTCTTTCTCATATTTAATATATAAATTATAATATTTTTATTTTTCTCTTTCCTTTAACATAAAAAAACAAATAGTTATAAAATAAATCCATTATATATATATATATATATATATATATATATATATATATATATATATATATATAAATAATAGTCATGAATAAAACAGTACAACTTATGTACTTGTGTCCTTCACACAACATTAACATGCCTATTTTAAATTACAGTGAAATTTATATAAATATAAATTATTATAATTCATTTTAGTTTTGTTGCATTATTTAAGATTAGAACCCGTGTCAATCTGGGCGCAACAGATCTAAGGTAAGTGTATAAAAATTGTTACATGTGTCCATTCCATTCTTCTTAGAAGAACTAGGTTTCAGATTGGTTTAATATCAAATACAACCTAGTATAATGTGTTTCTCAGGACAAAAATTTCTTTTGTTCATACAACAAACGATTTGTTCTTTTAAGATACACACCGTTTCACTTCATATCCCAACATAGTTTGACACCTGAATCGTTCATGGCCGGTTTATCAACAATATTTAGGTCATTTACTGTTTTATCAGATAATTTTTATTTTTTATTCTCTGTACTTTTTTTTCTTGGATTTCTGAATTTTTTAGGGTTTTGGTCTGGAGGAGAACAGAAGAAGGAATTTCCTTCTCTTCTATGTCATTTTACTTGTATCTTTATTTCTCTTTTTCGTCATACCACTGATCAGGTTTATCACTTTTTCTTTTTATATTTTATTTTCTTTCTATTTCACTCTCCCTTTGGTGATGAATTTATATTTATTGATACACTTTTGAAATTAGCATTATGAAGCAAATTGAGAATGATTGCTGCAATATGAAATTTGGATTTGAAATGTTTGATCATAATGTGGGTATGCGGTGCTCTTGTTTGTGTTTTTGGTTATCATTCATTTAAGTTTATGCAATCTTTATGTGGTGTGGTGATCCTTTTGTTTGTTCTTTGTTAATCATTCAGTTATTAAGTGTATCATGAATGAAACCTTATATATATTGGTTTTGATTGTGTTAGGATATTTATACATTTGAAATAAGGTGTTGAGGGGACCAACCTGTGCATAGGGTTGAAGTTTGCAATGGATGAAGATTTGAATCAGCAACATTTGGATGGAATAGAAGGACGTATGAGATGCCTAGAAGTGGTAGCTTTCAGCGCTAGGGAACGTCAGAGAGAACGACTAAGTCACGCTCCGATTCGGATAGTTAACTATGCAGGAGAAGTGATAACAGTAGCTCATCTTCAGGATGAAGAAAGGGTGTTTGATGAAAATGTTGGTGTCGATGTTAGAGGAGAGGAGATGGTGGGAGATGGGACAGCAGGTAAAAGAAAAGCTAGCTGTTTGGTTGCCAAAGCATTGGGGGTGAAAACCAATGAGGGGGAAGGTTTTGCTGCAAAGTTGTTTCACTGTAATGTCTGCTTGAATAGAGCAAAGGATCCTGTTTTAACTTGTTGTGGTCACTTGTTTTGTTGGGCTTGCTTTCTTAAGCTGCCATATGCTTATTCAAAGGCCAAGGAATGTCCAGTTTGTCAAGGAGAGGTCACAAATGAAAGCATTATCACAATCTATGGCAACTCAAATGTTCAGAACAGTGGCAAGGTGAAATTTGATGAACCTAGTTATAAAATTCCTTCTAGACCCCGTTCAAGGAGGGTTGAGAGTACCAGGCAGCAATTCAGCAATTGAAGAAATGTTGTCTTTTTATAACTTCTTTTGTAGATTAGATTACCTTTGTTCAGTTAGAAATCACCATATGAGGCAGAAAAGAATAGGCATGGTCCTTTATTTCCATCATTTTTAAAGGTTGTAGTTCTAAAACAACTTCATTTCCATTGATTTTGTTGCCATTAATTTTTCAATAGATTTTACTGCAAATTTAGTGAATAACTGTGATCATATATAGTCTAGTCCCTACTGAAGCCTTCATCACGACCCTGAATCATCACTATGTAGCTACAGTCCTATCTATTATAAACTCCAATACGCAAACATTTTATATTTATTTTAAAACAATTTCAATATTGCAAAATAAATTCTGCATTAAAATGTTATTCAACCTCTTTTATAATCTTTGGATATTATTAATAATTATCAAAGATCTCAACAAAATTAATTATTTAAAATAAAATGTGATTTTAGATAAATTAATAAAAATATTATTTCATGAAAGAGATCTTTTTGAATATTATAAAATTCTCAATAATTTTTTAATGGTCAACTATTAAAATATATATTGATCTTTTTTAATCCATATTCAATCAATAATCAATTCAATCTTTCATTTATTTATTTTTTTTACTTCACTGACTTATTCTTGTTATTACATTTTCTCACATGATAAGCATTCAAACATAGATTTCATAACTTTGCATAGTAGATTCGTAGTCTAAAATCCAGTGGAAAAAGAGAAAAAGAAAAACACCAAGAACTTTCCAATTCAAATTGAAGGGTTTCATTGGAAGAAGACAAGGTTTTGCATCAACTTTCTTTTGTAATGGCCTCTCACTTTCTAACCTATGCACACAGAATCTCTTTAAGTGGTGTCATATATGCATTGTAAACTTTGGAGCTGGTTTTGGTAAAAGTGACATTAAAAAGGGGACGAACGAAACCTCAATTATTCATTTATTATTCAATCCATAGTAATAATTAATGACCAGTCATGTGTAAATGTTTCCCTCTTTTTTCTTATCATCCACTAGAAGATAACCTGATAAGTTGACCTTGTCATTTACATGACTTTGTGCATCAAGAGGAAAGTTTACATATACAATGTGGTGACATATCCTAGCTAACATTTTTGGTTGCTTTTCATTGGAATATCACCAACTTTGCCAAACTTTGCCAAACTTTTCCGTTTACTTAAGGTAAGGACTTTTAGTTCTCAATATAACATATTTATACACAAAAAGTGGGAAAAGAAGATAAGAGAAGAGAAAGAAGATATATAAGATAAAATGAATAATACGAAAGAGACAAATAAAAAAATAAAACGATAAAAAAAAATTAATTGTATATTTATGATTAGGTAGAATTTGAAATAAATTTGTTTTTCTTCAAAGCTTTTAAAAAGATTACGTTAGTCTCTGCAATTTAAAAGATCCGAATGTAATCTCTAACTATTATAACAAAAATTGTAACATAATTTAATAAATCTTATCCAAGGTATAAACATGTTATATGTAAAAACAATATATTTAAAAATTACTAAACTTTTTTAGATAATTAAATATCTAAAAATAGTTATGTATTTTTATTTATTTATTTATAAACTTAAAAATGAACCCCTAATCCAAATTATTGACTTAAACAAATTTTTGGTTCGCTTGTTTTTTAAAACAGTTTTTTTCAAATTTTTTTATTTCCAATACATCTTATAATAACTTACCTATAAATGAATAGGTGATATTTTACCATTAATTAACTAAACATTTTGTTACAATTATGTTTTCTAAACAAAATGAGTGTAAACTTAATAATTCAACATTAACAAGATACCATATCACAAATCGAACCATCATAATTTTCAAACAAATTAATCAATGAATATTAACATTATTGAACCTAGTATATTAATAATTTAGTAGAAAACGAATTAATGAAATACGTAATTGATTATATACGCTTCTATATTCGATTAGGAAGAACTACATAATCGATTATCAATATAATCATAATTGATTATGCAGTTTGTGTTGTCCTTTATAATAAATTATGTACCTCAACATAATCAATTACACACTGTCTCATAATCGATTATGTTGGTCTTATGTGTAACAATGATACATTTGAACATCAGTTCAACATAAATCAATACCATGTAAACTTATACAAATGAATAAAATAAATAATTTGACATCTTAAATCAATGAAATCATTAACCAATTATAGAAGAAAAGTGATTGATAAACTTACAATATAGGTCGATGCAGAACTACCTCATTTCAATCACACATTCTTTCTCTTGAGACAATATCACACTACAAAAAAAAGTCTATTATTTACAACAAAAATTCATAAGTAATGGTAAAAAATTCACTGACGTAAATTGAACCCAATACCTTAGAGTTGAAGACCGATACTTCAACCACTAAGCAATTAGAATATTCTAATAATAATTTACAAATAAATTATATTTATATTTATTTGTGTAGATATATAAATATAAAATATATAAATATAAATATATTTATATTTTGATATATTTATAATGGAGGACAACATTACCTACGAACAGTAATTTTGTAGGTAATGATGAATAATATTTATAAATAATATTTCCTACGGACAGTAATTATGTAGGTAATAGATAATTACCCATGAATGACATTACCTACGGACAATAATTTCGTAGGTAATGAATAATTTACATACGGATAGAATTTCATAGGTAATATCTATATGTAATGTACATTTTACCTACGGATAAAAATCCGTAGGTAATAGTTTGTAGATAATACCTCTTTTTTTCGTAGTGTCAATGAATGCACAACGAGAAATTATGTCAATTGTTTTATTTATAGTTAAAAAAATATCAAATGCTTCATGAACTCGTTCAAAAAGACTAAACAAAACCATAATCATGTTTAATGCACATGGCAATGGTCTACGATTGAGGGTTCACATAATATATTTACTGTGTATTAATGTAAGTTGCAATGCTAGTTAGCTGGAAAATTAAAGACGAATATGTGAGGTGTAGATAGGTATGTGTTGAAGGAGATTGTTGATAAATTTGAGTGTAGTGTCTTTGAAAAACAGTCTCTGTATATATTTCATTCATCTTTCTTCATGAATTACGAGAAATCAATATATATAAATAACTAAATCTTATGCAAATTCAATGTCTCATTTCATTTATTATAGTTCTAGATGAAAACAAATACAACATAAATACATAAATCATGTGGTGATGATAACTAGTCATAATTTTAACCAATAAAAAAGAAAAAAAAACTAATATTTAAAGATCAATTAGTTAATATTCTTTAAAAAATAATCTTAAATAAAATATTTTCAACTTACATACAAAGTTTAAAATTTTATTTCCTTTATTCTATATAAAATAAGATGTGCAAATTATATTATATTTAATTAAAATTTATATAATTATGAAATATTATACTGTCTTTGTTATCCTTGTTAGTTAAATATATTTGTAACTAATTACTATTAATATCATATTTTCAAGTACATATATATTAAAAATCTTGTATATATATATTTTATTTTGTACGAGAAAATAAATATACACTTGAGTTTGTATTTTCAAGTGTTTTGCTATCTAGAAAAAATGTGAGAAGAAGAAGTGACAGCCCCTTCTTGTGTATATAGTTTTCCTATATATCTGCATAGACTTTTCTCTTCCTAATTTTGATGGTGGGATTTTGCTTGGCCCAATCATAGTGGAGGCTTAGGTGGTATGAAGGAGAGGTGCGGGTGCTTTGGTGAAAGTGCAAGGCTTATTAGGTTCATGAGATCCGCACGTGAAATTGTTTCCTAATTGTGTCCTTTTCAACAAAACAATTATAAAAATAATTCTCTAAGAGTATATTTTTTACTGGTTGAATTTTTTCACGTGTACTTGAATAAGTTAAATAAATATTAAAGAAATTTTATCCCAAGTAATTTATTATTAATGGTCTGTTTAGCAAATCACTAATAAGTAATAAATAATATTAAATCATCAGTTTTTTTTACTAAAATTATAAAGCTAACTCAAGCCACAAAGTCAAAAATAAAATCTTTTTAGATTATATCACAACATAACAAAATCAGTTCTTCAAGGGCAGACAGAGAATATTACACAAGGAAGAAAGAATAGACCGCTTCAATATTACAACAGTTTAAAGAGATGGTTATTTTTGAGAAATAAATGTTCTTGGTTAGCTACTAATTACCCAACATTGAGGATGATGGAACAGCAGCCTAATAAAGTTGAATAAAGGTGGTGAAATAAATCTCTTGTTTTCCAAGGAAATGGACATGACTTAAAATTCAATAATGGAAACCCTAGTGAGTATTGCTTAGTCGCAGTCATGCCTTTGAATCTGATGAGAGAAGAAGACTAGTGCTGGTGGTGAAGGTCACCCTTGACACCTTCGTCAACACATCAAAACTTTGCTTCTTCAATTATTTCTGCATCACCCCAAAAGTTCTACAACTACTTTTCTCCTCTCCCGAACAATCATCATACATGTTGACAACAACAAATCAACGCCAACCAAGTACTAGTCATTCTTCTCAATTTATATATTTACTTATTCAGCAAAATTTCTTCTTATGTTCAAACTCACGCAAAAGCCATTGAAAAATTGCGTAATATTGTTGTTAATGTTATCATTTCGAACGGATTATTCCAAAAATGACGAGGTTGGGAGAAAAACCTAGTCACGGTCAATTAAACTTATTAAAAATAATTAGGGTTAGTAAACTCGACGTTTTATAAAATAATTACTTTATATATTTTTTAAATAGAAAAGCTTCAACTCAACTTACTAATTTTAGTTAAAAAAATAATTTCAATAAATCTCTTTCCTTCACAAAATTCAAAAGTTGATGGTATGATATAATTTCATATACTTATGTGAACGAGCATGATTCATTTCAACACGACTACACTTGGTTATGAAGCACGATAAGTTAGAAATACATGAATGAATACATAAAGATTAGTCAAACTTTTA